GCTATGTGGTCGCCGTCGCTGCCCCGCCGCCGCCTCGTCTCCGCCCGTCGCACGTAGATTGCCACGACCGACCACCTTCCCGAGGCGAGACTTAGCACCCCCCCCTTTGGGGCACTGCAATTTACATGTTTTCTGCCCAACCCTGCACTTTCCATATGTAATCATACCGTCCCAGAAGGTCCGGCACCGCCGCCCCCCGCCACTTCAGAAACTTAAAACAATCTGCGCGCGCCTTCTTGCGAATTCTTAGGAACACCAAAAGTTTTCCAACATTTTCGTCAAATGAGACCGCGCGGGCCTCTCGGGCGCGCATGTGTAAATCATTCGAACGCCTTTGCGCGCTTGCTGGAGGGCACGACCCGTGTCAAAGAATGCCGTGCGGGCCACTCCGCGCGCGTCGGCCGCGCGCGCACATCGAAATCAGACCGAAGCCTTCACCACCGACGCGTGGACACCACCGTCGTCACCGGCGTGACCAGCATTGGCGCCGTCGTTGGCCGTCGTCGTGGTCACCACCGTCACCATCCTGGCTACCATCACCGTCGTGCCCGCCGACGTCGACGTCACCTGACTACCTACCAGACCACCCCAACCGTACCCGAAGACCCGAATTTCGGGTTGGGGGGGGTATGGGTTCCATACGTGTTTTTTTCAATGTTCCCCGACCGCCCCCCCACTGGAAATGGATGGCAAATTGAGGCCTTCGGGTTGGGTTGGGGTGGTTTGGTAGGTGGTGATCACCACGACGCCGCGCCCGCCCAAGCCGCCGCCTCGCACGGAGGTGCCCGGGCGCAGGCGCGGCCTGCGAGACGCGCTGGCAAGTCCCCCGCGGCCAGCCCCACCGCGGCCGCGTCGGCTGCGCCAAACTAGCTTTCGGTCGGGCCTGTCCCCCTACAGGGGGATTTTCGACGGAAAAAAATACCCCAAAATGCCCCCCCAAATGGCCAGAAAATATTTAAAAATAGTCCCCAGACTATTTTTACCTAACAGCGAAGACCGATAGGTTTCTAATGGGGTCAAAAGAGAGCACCTGATGACTCCCTAGGGGGGTCTGGGCGGGAGCCGGACAGGCGAGGGCCGGGCTCGCTTTAAGCAAACAGTCACACACTTCGTGCTCTTCGACCTCCCAGAACTCCATTCCCGGGCCACATTTTGAATGCCCGGAGCCAACTGTGGGCCACTTCGTGCTCTTCGACTTCCCAGAACTCCATTCCCGGGCCACATTTTGGATGCCCGGAGCCAACTGTAAGCCACTTCGTGCTCTTCGACTTCCCAGAACTCCATTCCCGGGCCACATTTTGGATGCCCGGAGCCAACTGTAGGCCACTTTGTGCTCTTGGACTTCCCAAAACACAACTCCCGGGCCACAGTTTGAATGCCCGGAGCTAAGCCACTTCGTGCATTTCCACTTCCCAGAACTCCACTCCCGGGCCACATTTTGAATGGCCGGAGCCAACTGTAGGCCACTTCGTGCTCTTCCACTTCCCGGACTTCCAAGACTCATCATCTTCATCGTCATCATCGTCCCCGTATCCTTCTTGGCTACAGCCCTGCTTTCGAAGATTTCCTTTCAAAGGAACTGCGCAGCGCCTACTGCACACCTTAATGCCAGGACTGCGCTCCTCTTCCGTTTGCGAGATGTCTTCCAAGATTTGGTTGGAGGCAGAGAAAGACGGACAAAACAAATCCAAGTAGCGCGGTCATCATCCCATCATCCTCCTCAATCATCACATCATCATCATCAACGGCTTCGCCGAGCACCCCTGTGGAGGTTCAGGTCTTACGGGTCCGTGCCCATACTACTACTACTACTACTACTACTACTACTACTACTACTACTACTACTACTACTACTACTACTACTACTACTACTACTACTACTACTACGACATCACACTAAATCCATTAATGGGAGTGCCTGTTTTGGAGCTACAGTCATTGATGCAAGTGTGTCGTTTGAAGCTCAAACCGTTGATAACAGTGTCTCGTTTGGAACCACATCCGTTGTTAGTAGTGTCTTGTTTAGACCTCAGTGAATTTATACAAAGATCTGATTTGGAGATACCGTTATCGAAAGCAGTGTTTCTACTGCTACTACCACTGCTCCCATCACTCCTACTCGTTCACTCCACACACTACAACTACTACTTCACTGTTACCACAACTACCATCACTACTACTTCTATTGCTACTACTACTGTTACTATTACTGCTGCTGCTGTTGCTGCTGCTAGTGTAGTTATTGCTACTGCAACTACTGGCAGTGCCACTGCGACTGCCGCTGATGTTGCCATTGCGACTGCCACTGCGAATCCGAATGCGACTGCGAGAACGCCAGAATTCTACAACAGCACTCTTACATGAATACCACAGGCAATGTTTCCAGCTATGCTTCTACACATCGCTGTTAGGTTGCTTTGCCGGGATAATTGGACGATTTTGGATTATTTTCTGTGCATTTTACCTAACAGCGAAAACTGATAGGTTTCTAATGGGGTCAAAAGAGAGCACCTGATGACTCCCCAGGGGGTCTGGGCGGGAGCCGGACAGGCGAGGGCCGGGCTCGTTTTAAGCAAACAGTCACACACTTCGCGCTCTTCGACATCCCAGAACTCCATGCCCGGGCCACATTTTGAATGCCCGGAGCCAACTGTAGGCCACTTCGTGCTCTTCGACTTCCCAGAACTCCATTCCCGGGCCACATTTTGGATGCCCGGAGCCAACTGTAAGCCACTTCGTGCTCTTCGACTTCCCAGAACTCCATTCCCGGGCCACATTTTGGATGCCCGGAGCCAACTGTAGGCCACTTCGTGCTCTTGGACTTCCCAGAACACCATCCCCGGGCCACATTTTGAATGCCCGGAGCCATCTGTAAGCCACGTCGTGCTGTTGACATCACCGACGGCTCAGCGTTTGACTGGCTTCGATGGGTGGCACAGATCGAGGGTGCGCGCGACGTCATCCGGAATGGCGTCCACAGGGTCTACGTTGTCCGCTGGAAGCCGCACTGGGCCCCAGAGCCGTCTTCTGCTACGGCAGCAACACGTACAGCACACTGGTGCCTCGCAACGCGCGATACAATGGCTCATGGAGCCACACGCGCATTGTGATTCACCGACAGGCCAATTGGGTGACCGAGCCGTTGCTCTCTGCGGCCCCTGTGGCAGCTACGCCGTGGCTGTTGTTGCGGGATCAGGTGACCTGGGAGTGATCTCTGGCAAACAAAATGTGGTGCTTCTCAGCCTGCATTCATGTGACACGCAATGCCGTGGCCTGCACTCGCGTAGTGCTTCTCAGCCTGCACTCGCGCGGTGCTTCTCAGCCTGCGCCTCCTCGGTACTTGCCAGCCGCCGGATTGGCGCGATTTCCTGCAATACAAGCGGGACAGGTGAAGTATCCGAGCCCGCGCGTCCACGGTGCTTCTCGGCGTGCGTACTTGTAATCCTAGTTCCAGCAGTAGTAGGACTGCGCGGCCGCGGTGCTTCTCAGCCTCCGAGTTTCTGCGGTGCTTCTCAGCCTGCAAGTTTTGCCGACTGTCCGCTTCACACGCCGCTCCTCAGTGCGCTCCTCTTCCGTTTGCGAGATGTCTTCCAAGATTTGGTTGGAGGCCGAGAAAGACGGACAGAACAAATCCAAGTAGCGCGGTCATCATCCCATCATCCTCCTCAATCATCACATCATCATCATCAATGGTTTCGCCGAGCACCCCGGTGGATACTCAGGTCTTACGGGTCCGTGCCCATACTACTACTACTACTACTACTACTACTACTACTACTACTACTACTACTACTACTACTACTACTACTACTACTACTACTACTACTACTACTACTACTACTACTACTACTACTACTACTACTACTACTACTACTACTACTACTACTACTACTACTACTACTACTACTACTACTACTACGACATCACACTAAATCCATTCATGGGAGTGCCTGTTTTGGAGCTACACTCATTGATGCAAGTGTGTCGTTTGAGGCTCAACCCGTTGATAGCAGTGTCTCGTTTGGAATCACATCCGTTGATAGCAGTGTCTTGTTTAGACCTCAATGCATTTATACAAAGATCTCATTTGGAGATACCGTTATCGAAAGCAGTGTTTCTACTGCTACTACCACTGCTCCCATCACTCCTACTCGTTCACTCCACACACTACAACTACTACTTCACTGTTACCACTACTACCATCACTACTACTTCTACTGCTACTACTACTGTTACTATTACTGCTGCTGCTGCTGTTGCTGCTGCTAGTGTAGCTATTGCTACTGCAACTACTGGCAGTGCCACTGCGACTGCCGCTGATGTTGCCACTGCGACTGCCACTGCGAATCCGAATGCGACTGCGAGAACACCAGAATTCTACAGCAGCGCTCTTACATGAATACCACAGGCAATGTTTCCAGCTATGCTCCTGCACATCGCTGTTAGGTTGCTTTGCCAGGATAATTTTATTTTTCGTCGAAAATCCCCCTGTAGGGGGACAGGCCCGACTTAAAACTAGCTGGCCGCTCTGCGCGCGAGCTTGCGCGCGCCAGCGCGGCCGCAGCGATGCGCCGGCCAGCACCAAGCAGTCATCGCAGTCGCCGCCGCATGGGCTTTGCAAACCAGATAGCTGATGGGTGGGTGTGAAGATTGCGCGAGCAGGGGGGGTGACAAATCAAAGTTCTTCAACAGAAGTGGCACCACGTAGTTTGCACCACATTGGGTGCATCACATAGCTTGCACCAAATAGATGACGCCACGTAGTTTGCGACACATCGCATGTTAGAAGACACTGTTTGGGGTTCATGCTGGCTAACAGAAGGGAAAGCGAAGGCGGAGGAGGAGGGGGAGGCTGATGAAGAGGAGGAGGGGGAGGAGGACGAGGACGAGGAGGCGGAGGAGGAGAAGGAGGAGGAGGACGACGACGACGACGACGAAGGGGAGGGGGCAGGAGGCGGAAGAACCACATTGACACTAGCATTTCCTTCCTCACCGCTCGCCTGCTGAGGGCGGCCGCGTACCGGAAGCGCCGAGGCGACGGCGGGGTCCGGGACCTGGACGGGCGCGGAGCGAGCGGGAGCCCAGGAGGCGGGTGGCGGTGGGGGGGGGCGGGGGGGAAGGGCAAAAAGCGCAGAGGAGCGAGGAGGAGCGAGGGGGAGCCGAGGAGCAAGGAGAAGCGGGGAAGAAACGAGAGGCGAGGATCGCGTAGGGGCGCGAGGAGCGAGGAGAAGAAGGAATCGGAGGAGGAGGAGGAGGAGAAAAAGGAGAAGGAGGAGGAGAAGGAGAAGAAGAAGGAGAAGGAGAAGGAGAAGGAGAAGGAGAAGGAGAAGGAGAAGGAGACGGAGAAGGAGGAGGAGGAGGAGGAGGAGAGGGAGGAGGAGAGGGGAAGACGTCCGCCACTTCTCTATATCCTGCTTGATGGCGATCCCGCGACTACTCTTTCCCCACCCCAGCCATCCACCTCTCTCCCATCCCCCTGTCCGTCCCCCCCTTCCCTCACTCCTCCTCGCCCTCTCCTCCCACCCCTCTCTTCCCCTGTCCTCGCCCCGCCCCTCCCCCCCCCCTCCCCCTTCTTCCCCGTCCTCCTACCGAGGCCCCGCCTGAGGGCCGCCGCCGCCGCCAACGCCGACGCCAACGCCAATGCCAACGCCAGCGCCGCCACCGCAGCCGACAAAATGAAGACGACGACGACGACGACGACGACGACGACGACGACGACGACGACGACGACGACGAAGACGACGACGCGACGACGACGACGACGACGACGACGACGACGACGACGACGACGACGACGAGGCTGATGGGGTTCCGTGCACGGCGTCGTCGCCGTCGCCCTCGTCGTCGCCCCGCCTGCTCTGCCCTGCTTCCTTCCTCTCCTCGCACCCGCTCCGCCACCGCCAGGAGCAGCAGGGGAGAGCGGGGCGGGGCGAGGAGGCGGCCACCACCACCGGGGCCTGCCCCACTCGAGGAAGTCCAGGGGGGGGGCATCGACGAGGCGGCTTCGCAGAGCATGGCTGGAGGCACCCATGTGCGGACGAGGGGGAGACCAGGCGACGCACTCGAAGAAGAAGAGGGGGGCACGACGCCCAGGGAGACATCATGGCCGGGCCATGATGTCCCCCACCCCCGAGCCATCAGCCCCCCCCCCCCATGGCCGCCCCCGATCTACTGCCCCCCCCCGTCCTCTTGCCCTGGCCGCTCTTCGCCCAGACTTCCGCGGCCCCGACGGCCTCCGCGGCGAACGAGCCGGCCTCGCGGTCGAGGCCCGCGGCGGCCTCGGCGGCAGAGAGGGGTGGCGAGAGAGTAGGCCACCACTGCCAGGACCTGCTCCACCGCCACCCTCCGTCTGCTGCCCTTCATCATCAGAGCGACCCTCGGCCGATGCTTCTGCGCAGTGCCATTCAGGCTAAGGAGCCCCTGGAGGGCGAACGGTGCCTGCGCCTGGCACACAAACACACAACAGCATCCGTGCAGGCTTGATTGTCCTTTCGATCGGGGGGCCTGCTCCACCGCCACCCTACGTTTTTCGGCGACTCCGAAAGGTGTGGTTTGCAAAGGGTGTGGTTTGCAACGCGCACCCCAGTGGGCGGGCGAGGACCTCGACAGAGTTCTCCGCCGCGCCCCTGCGAGACCCGACGAGAGCAACGTGGTGCACCCCAAGCCCCAACGACGCACATCGCAAACAACACCCGCGTAACCACACGACACCACACCACGGCGTAACCACACGTCTTCATGCCCTGGCCGCTCGTCGCCCGCATTTCCACGGCCCCGAAGGCCTCCGCGGCGACCGGGCAGGCCTCGCGACCGAGGCCCGCGTCGGCCTCGCGGTCGGCCTCGGGGCCGGCGGGCCGGCGACCTCCTCCCGCGCGGGGCGGCCGCGACGATACTGCCGCCAGCAACGACGATAGCGACGACGACGGCGACGGCGACGGCGACGGCGACGACGACCGCGACGAGGACGACGACGACGACGACGGCGACGGCGACGGCGACGGCGGCGGCGACGACGACGAAGACCACGACGACGATTACGACGACGCCGACAAATCCATCGAGGATGGCGACGACGGCGGCGGCGACGGCGACGACGGCGGCGGATACGACGACGACGACGCCGCCGCCGACGACGACGACGACCATCACGAACACGACGACTGGCGGCGGCGGCGGCAACGATGGCGACGGCGACGGCGACGGCGACGGCGACGGCGACGGCGACGGCGACGACGACGACGACGACGACGACGACGACGACGACCACGACCACGACGACAGCGACAGCGACGACGACGACGACGACGACGATTACGACCACGACGACAACGACGGCGACGGCGACGACGACGACGGCGACGACGACGAGGCGAGATCAAGGGAGCGGAGGGGAGGGGGGAGGAGCAAGGAACACGAGGACAGGAAGGAAGACGAGGAGGAGAAGGCGCGGCACAGGGAGGAGGAGCAGGAGGAGGGGCGGGAAGGACGAGGCGAGGGCGAGGACGAGGACAGAGGAGAAGACGGGCGGAGGAGGGCGGTCCTGCGGGGGGACGTACGAGCCGCGCGCGGAGCCCTGGTCTGCCGCCGCCGCGACAGCGCGGGCGACGTCCGCCGGGAGGTGGCCCGCCGGCGTCAGCTCGACCGGCCCGCCCGCCAAGAGACCCGCGGGCAGATTGATCTCCGGCTGGCGGGCCGCCCGTCGGACCTTGACGCCTCCGGAGGGGGGGGGGGGGGGCCTGACGGCGACGACGGCGACGACGACGACGACGACCGGGCAGGCCGATCTCAGGCTGGCGGGCCGCCCGTCGGACCTGGACGCTCCCAGAGTAGGCTGGCCGCTTAGCGACGGCGACGAGGACGATGATGCAGCCTTTTGGTCCTAACAGGCCCAAAGAACATCACACCTGACCTCACGGAGGTGCGCCTGCCAGGCAGTTCCGGCAGGCAGGGCAAAGCGAGCAAGCCTTGACATCGCATTGCAAAAAACGAGTCGGATCTTGACGACTCTAGAGAGACGGCGGTGGGCCCTGATTCCGGATCCGCCGCAGTTTGAACTGATGGTAATGCCAGTGACAATCGATGAACGGACGAGGAGAAGGAGGAGGATGAGGAGGATGAGAAGGAGGAGAGAGAGGAGGAGGAGGTTGAGGAGAAGGGGGGACACCACAAGCGCGGCAATGTGGCCGCATCTAGGTGGCCGAAGCTGAACCACAAGTAGATGGCCGGGGGCAAGCGCCAAATTTCCTGGCCAAATCCGCCGTAGGTTGGTTGATTATCCAACTCAGAGTGGTGATGGTAATGCGCCCCAAACGATGCGAAACAATAAAACGGAGATCTAGATTCCCGCCTCAGAAAAACAGGGCGGTTAATTCCGCAAAAATATGGCGTGAACAACGACAGCAAAGTAGGTCGGACATCGACATCAAAGGAGATGGGTAAGTAGGGCGGTAATTTCCGCCTTCCTTGTAAATTCGCCTAGCGCACGGCGGATTTTAAGTCAGGGGGGCTTACGATATAATTCCACCAGCCCTCTTGGCCTGAGTGGTCTAACAAGCTCGGTCTGTTAACCACCGTTCTTTTCGGGGAGGGAGTCCCCCTCCCCCATACCCTCTCCTCCTGGGGCTGGACGGAGCGTGTCGCGAGGAGTTGGAGCGTCCAAGATGACTCGAGAATGGCCCCAGAGAGCCTACGATGGCCTCTAAAAACCCAAATCGCTCAACATATCTCAACATGGTTCAAACACGTTCAAGGTCCAAGACCACTCCAAAGCGACTCCAACCGACCTCCAAACCTCCCACGAAGGGCCTCAAGAGGACAACACCATTCCAACACCTATGACACATGTATTAACCATCGTGGACCCCAAACAGTGTTCTTAGCAAATATGTGGTGCAACATGTGGAGAAATCTATGAGGTGCACTTCGCCTTGCCGAATTTGAAGTTGTCAACTCCGCTGCTCGCGCAATCATGCCACCCACCCACCAGCAACCTGATTTGCAAAACCCATGCGGCGGCGATTGCGATGAGTGCTCGGTGTTGGCTGGGGCATCTCTGCGGCCGCGCTACCGCGCGCATGTTCGCGCGCGCAACGGCCAGGTAGTTTGGCGGGACCGACGCGGCCGCGGTGGCGCTGGCCGCTGGGCACTTCCCAACGGGCAGTTTAGTGCGAGTCGGCCGGCCACTTGGGCGGGCGCGGTATCATGGCAACGTCGACAACAGTAGACACGATGACGAGTAGCGACGCTGGTGACGATGATGACAACGGCGACGGCGCGGCCAGTGACGGCGCCGATGCTGATCACGCCGACGACGATGACGGCGCCCTCGCGTCGGAGTGGAAATGTTTGGAAAGAGTTCGACATGCGCGCGCGGCCGACGCGCGAGAGTGGCCCGTGCTATATTCTTTCACACGGATCGTGCCCCCCAGCACGCGCGCAAGGGCGTTCAAATTATTTCCACATGCGGCGCGAGAGGCCCGTTTGGCCGAGTGTAATAAACATTTTTGTCTATATATATATATATATGAAAAACCGTACTTGCCTGAAGAGTTCGCAAGAGCGCGAACGCATGGATTTTCGAGAACGGATGTTGCAAGACCATGTGTTTTCATTTGTTTTCGGGACATTCGGTTTGAACATCCTTGCGGAACCTGCGGTTGTGAAAGATTCCGGCATGCGCGCGCAACGACGCACGCGCGCACGCACTTAATTCCATTTTCTTTGAGAAAGCTCATGCGACAGCACGCGCGCAAGGGTGTTCGAACGGTTTCTCGGCTGGCAAAGTCGCGCGAAAGGCCCGTTTGGTAGTATGTTATGAAAAATGAAAGCCTGTGTTGCATATACATACGTATATATCCGCAAGAGCGCGATGGCGACCTGTGTTTGAGTTTTCTGGTGTGAATCCATGTGTGTTAATATGTTTTCGGGGCACTCGGTTTTGAAATTCTTACGGGACCTGAAATGTTTGAAAAATTTCGGCATACGCGCGCGACGACGCGCTCGTGCGCACTTCGGCCTAATGCTTGCTACGGGCTGTTGGAAATTGATGTTTGTTGATAAACGAGTGCGCGCGCATCCCTTCTTGTCCAAACGATGACGGGGGCGATGCCGGCCTGACTGGGATGGTATGGGATCAAGATTCGGATGGACGGTGGGGCAAAATCATACGTAAATTGCAATACGCAAAAGGGTCTCGCGAATTCCGGGGGGAAGGGGGTAGATCCTAATATTCTTTGGTGATGAAGGATATATGTTGCGTGACCTATGTTGTGCAATCTGTGTTGCGCAACCTACGTTATGTAATACAGATTGTGAAATTTGCGCAGTCCAATACGTTGTGACATATATGCCGATACATGTATGTGGTGCACATGATGCTCTGCAATGTTTGGTGTGCAGCATGTGTTGTGCACTCTTGGGTGCGATCTACGCGGTGCAACCAATGTGAAGCAACCAGCGTTGTGCAAAATATGTGGTGCAATCTATGAGGTGCGCTCTGCGTGGTGCAATTCACTTGTGGGACTCGCAGTTGTCAACTCCACTCCCCGAACAATCATCCCACCCACCTACCCGCAACCTGTTTTGCAAAACACATGCGGCGGCGATTGCGAGGAGTGCTTGGTGTTGGCTGGTGCTAACCTGCGCCGCGCTAGCACGCGACCGACGCGGCCGCGGTGGCGCTTACCCCTGGGCACTTCCCAGCGGGCACTTCAGTGCGAGTCGGCCACTTGGGCGGGCGTGGCATCACGGCAACGTCGACAACAGTAGACACGATGACGAGTAGCGACGCTTGTGACGATGATGACAACGGCGACGGCGCGGCCAGTGACGGCGCCGATGCTGATCACGCCGACGACGATGACGGCGCCCTCGCGTCGGAGTGGACATGTTTGGAAGAAATTCGACATCCGCGCGCGGCCGACGCGCGAGAGTGGCCCCCGCTGTTTTACTTCATACCGATCGTGCCCCCCCCCAGCACGCGCGCAAGGGCGTTCGAATGAAATGCCACATGCGGCGCGAGAGACCCGTTTGGCCGAATGTAATGAACATGTTGACAGAAACGTAGTTGCCTTAAGAGTTCACAGGCACGCGGGCGTTGGAAGTCTGAGAATTTATGCTGCACCGCCATGTTGCTTTATATGTGTTCGGCACGCTCGACTTTGAAATCCCCACGACGCCTGCGCGTGTTGAAGGATTCCCCCATGTGGGCGCGACGACGCGCGCGCGTGCACTTCGCTCCACCTGTTGTAAAGGATTATTGCGACAGCACGCGCGAAAGGTCGTTCGACCGATGACTATATGCGCGCGCGAAGGGCAAATTTGGTAACATGTGAGGAGCAAACTGAAAACAAAGATGCATTTCTTAAGACCCAGCAAGAGCGGCGCATTATATTGGTTGCATGTTTTTGGTTGTCTGTTTTTAGTGCGGACCCATGTGATTTATTTATGATATATATTGGGGCCACTCGATTTTGACACCCCCTACGACACTTAAGGTTGTTGAATGATTGCGGCATGCGCGCGCGACGCCGCGCGCGTGTGCATTTTGCCCGGTACGAACATGTGCGCATCACATTTGTTGCAAAGGATGAGAGGGGGATACCCGATTAGCTGGAATGGTGCGAACTCATACCTCGGATGGGCGATGCAGCAAAACCATACGTACACTGCAATCCAAAAGCGGGCGCCGTAAATTCTGGGGGGGGGGCAGATCCTATGATTTGAAAGGGAGATTTATGTGGTGCATTTCGCCCTGCCGAACTTGAAGTTGTCAGCTCCGCTGCTCGCGCAATCTTCCCACCCACCCACCAGCAACTTGATTTGCAAAATACACGCGGTGGCGATTCCGATGAATGCTCGGTGTTGGCTGGGGCATCTCTGCGGCCGCGCTACCGCGCGTGCTCGCGCGCGCAGCGGCCAATTACCTTGGCGCGACCGACGCGGCCGCGGTGGCGCTGGCCCCCAGGCATTTTCCAGCGGGCACTTCAGTGCGAGTCGGCCACGTGGGCGGGCACTGTATCATGGCAGCGTCCGTCGACAACGGTGACACGATGATGATAGTAGCGATGCTGGTGGCGATGGTGACAACGACGACGACAAGGCCAGAGACGGCGTCGATGCTGATCACGCCGACGACGATGACGGCGTCCTCGCGTCGGTGATGAAGGATTTGGAAGTAGTTCGACATGCGTTCGCGGCCGACGCGCGAGAGTGGCCCGCACTATATCATTTCACATGGATCGTGCCCCCCAGCACGCGCGCAAGGGCCTTCGAATGATTCCCACATGCGGCGCGGGATGCCCATGTGGCCGAATGTACTGAAAATGTTGAACAACCGATGGCTTTCTCAAAAATTCACAAGAACGCGAGCGCAGGCATGTTTGAAAACTGCTGTAGCAAAACCAAAACATGTTTATACATTTTAGGGACACTCGATTTTGAAATCCTTACGGAACAGGGAATTTGTTCAGGATCTCCGCATGCGCCCGCGACAGCGCGCGCGCGTGCGCACTTCGTCCCATCTTGTGCAGCGGGTTCTTTCGACAGCACGCGCGCAAGGGCGTTCAAGCGATTTCGACACGCGCGCGCGAGAGGCCCGTTTGGTAGCATGCTATGGAAACTATGCGTGTGCAAACGATGGTGTTTTTTTTTTTAAAAAAAAAAAAAAAAAAAAAAAAAATATGCAACAGCGCGGGCGCAAGTTTTGTTTGAAC